TTTTTGAGATAAAACATAAAACTAAAGTCCCCATATCTACTACCTAACCCCCACAGATAGGTAATGAATTTGGTGCTTATCCTTCCTGTTATTTTTCTTTTAGCTTACCTATACATACATTCAGTATTTTATATTGTTTTCTGTGTATTTTAATTTACACAAATGGCATCATAGATCTCATGTTGTTCTGCATCTTGCCTTTATCACCAAACATTATGTTTTTTAAATCTATCCACATTGATATGTAATAAGAGCTAGTTCATTCCTTTTCATTTAAGCTGCACCATATTCCACTCTATGAATCTTTTACACCACATTTTGTATATCCATTCCTGTAGGGGCAGTCATTTAGGTTGTTTACTTTTTTAAAATTACAAACCAACATGATTTGATTAAAAAAATCTTTGTATGTGCCTTGTGGGCATTTATGCCCAAGTTTCTCTGGGAAATTTACCCAGAAGTCAAATGTGTTTGTTAGTCACAAGGCAGAAGTAGACATACCTGGGATCCAGTCTCGACTCTGATGTTTACTCCCTGTGTGACCTTGGGCAAGTCATTTCACTTCTCTGGGTCTGGTTTATTACCTATAAAATGGGTGTGTGCTAATCCCTAACTCATTGCATTGGCTATTTCTAAAAAGTAGCAGGAATTGTGCAAATGGTAGGAGCCCAGTAGCTCTCATCATCCATGCCACAGGTTTTTCTAGCAACCAAAGTAGGATCTGAAGGCAATGCCTAACCCTTTGCACAACGGACCTGAAGCCCAGCAGAGCAATTCCTTGAGGCTTGCCCAGCCCACCTCTTACTACGTGGTTATCACCTCTTTCCCCTGCCTAGCCTGCTGTCAGCTGGGTAAATAATTGAGCAAATGCACCCTTCCGCATCTCAGTTTCTTCGCCTGTAAAATGGAATAAAAGCACCTACCTCGAAGAGCTGTCATAAGACTTAGAGCTAGATCATGTATGCAGGGCACTTGTTAAAACTGCCCTTTCCAACTCACTCTGGACACTTTCTCCTTGAAAGCTGTAAAATTATCTGAAGTTCCTTCTCACCAGCAGGGTGAAGCTGGACTATGTTTCTGATTTGATTTTGGTTTCACAGCTCTAGGATTTTACGTTGCGGATGCTGCGAGTAAACACGTGGAGGCTGTGTAAGGACCCTGTGTTTGTTTTCCGCCCCGGAAAGCTGCATCAGCGGGAGAGACTGGGTCGTTTAAATTTGCTAAAATGTCTCCATCTAGTGGACTCTCTGAAACACTGCAGGGGTTGGCCCTGTTTGGGAAAAACAATGGGGTGACAGCTGGGGCCGCCCTGCCCTGCTCACAAACTCCAGTGGCTCCCCATTGTCTACGGGGTAAAGTCCAAATGCCAAGCCTGGAATTCGAGCGCCGGCCCAATCGGGCCCCGCCCTGTCTTTAGGACCTTATCATCGGCTTCGACCTCCTGCCCCCGCCAGGCCCAGTTCCTCCCTGCTCCAGAACCTCAAAGCCCACACCTGCCTAGCACGTGGACCAGCCCTGTGCCTCAGAACTCACCTCCCTTCTCCTCTCCACTCTTCTGAGGCTAACCCTCTTTCCGGGCTCAGCTGAAAGGTCACCTCTTCCTGGAAGCCTCCCCGACTCTTCAATCCATCCTGGTCTTCCCTGACCTTCCATCAACACTTGCTGTTGCTCGTTTTTGTATTTCTATATTTAAAGTTGTGTTTTGTCAATGCACTGTCCTCCAGTATCCAGCATGATGAATTAAAATAAATGCAAGCCTGGTAGTCCCCTGGATCTGGATCCTCATCTGGCCTCCACTACTTCCTAGCTCTGAGAACTTGAGCGAAGGAGGGAACCTCAACTGTGAAACAGAAGTAAGAACACCTATTTCACAGGGCTGTGATGAAAATTAAATAAGATAGGATGAAAAGTGGCCAGCACATATTAATGCCCAATAAACTGTCATTAAGGTGATCATATAAAATACAAGATACTACAAATAGTACATGTAGGTTCTGTGCAACATTTCACAGATAAATGATATTACTGTTCACTTTGTTAGATGTGCTAATGATACTGGGGATATATACATGCAGTTGGTCTTCATTATTGGAAGATTCAGCATTTGCAAATTCACCTACTGGCTAAATTTTATTTGTAATGCCAAAATCAATACTCACAGCGCTTGTTCATTTGCAGACATGCACAGGTATAGAACGGAGAAAACTTTGTCTCCCAATTTGCATGTTCTCAACTGAAGTCAATAGATGATACTCTGCCTTGTTTCAGCTCTCATTCCAGGAACAAGTTTACTTTTTTCAGTCTCTTTAGTGCCACATTTTTTGCATTTTTGTGCTGTTGGCGATTTTGCTGTTTAATATGGACCCAAGCAGAGCGTTGAAGTGCTATCTAGTATTCCTAAGCTAAGAAGGCTATGCTGTTTCTTACAGGGAAAACACATGTTAGATGAGCTTCATTCAGGTGTGAGTTATAGTGCTGTTGGCCACGAGTTCAATGTTAATGAATCCATAGTAGATATTCAATAAAGTGTCTTTAAACAGAAACACACATAAAACAAGGTTCCATATTGATTGGTTGATGAAAATGTTGTAGCTAGACTAGCAAGAGCCTAACCCTATATTTTCCCTAGGAGTAATGTTTCAGTATTCACTAATTCAGTGTTCATGGTGACTCTATAGAACTACTGGAATAACAAGAATCAAATATATATATACATACACATATATATACATATATGTATGTGTACATATGTATATATGCATGTGTATGTATATAATAAAATTTAAAAATTCGAGATATATACTGAAATTTTGAGCGAAATTATATGTCTGGGATTGCTTTAAAATATTCCAGCAGTGGGATAAATATGTGTATATGGAGAGTGTAAAAGAAACAAAATACCAAAGGCTGAAGGTTGTAGAAGTGATGATTTATTAGATAATTCTTTCTACTTTGTGTATGTTTGAAAATGACCACAAAAAAATGTTTAAAGTACACACTGAGGAGAAAATCTTGGGGGAAGAGTATCTTATTAAGTAACTTCCACTCTGGACCCTCTGTTGCGACAGGGATCCAGATGATGCTGAGATTCCATTAGCGGGGAATCCCAAGCCTCTGAGTGTGGAGCACCTCACTGAGGTCCAGGACTGCCTCTATTCTGACTTGCTCGGATACCTCTGGCAACTCACAGAGCTACTGAACCTTTTTTCTTATCAGTTAGATATAAAGTTGAACTGGACAACCTCTGAGTTCCCTTTCATTGTTAAAATCCTCTAATTCTAAAACTAGTATCCCCTAAATTGGCATATTCTGGTGCATTATTACAGGCTCTCCCCAGCTCTCTATTCCCTGTCTAATCCATCCTGATACCACTCTTCTGTGAATCTTGACAGAGTTCTCCCTTTTTTGCAACACTAATAGGAAGCTATTCTGATTTTGGTTTATCTAAAGTCTGAACTCTTTAGCTGAGCCGTTAATGCTCATGGTGTCTTAAGCTCTTTCTACCAAGGGCTCATAGCCCAGTTAAAGAGGACCAGGAAACAGGGAACACAGAGAAAAGTCACCCAAGCCTGCCTGGGGAAGCAAGAGGATGTCTCCTGGAGGAAGAGATATCTGAACTGAGACCTAAAGGGTGACTAGGAATTACTGCTGCAAACAGTGGGGAAGGATGTTCCAGGCACAGGCAACAGTAGGTTCCAAGACCTGGAGACAAGAGAAAGTTGAGAAAGATCCAGATTTCAAAGCCCATCACACCTAGCCCCTCCCTTCCCTGTCACTCACCTTCCCCTTGTCAAGCATGTATGGTATGTGCACTGGGGACCCTGGAATTCATATCTGGGAAGGTATACATTAGACTCCTTACCGGCCTCTTTTTAAAATAATCAGGTCAGGAGAAACTTTTACACTTCCCAACACGCTTTTGCTCATCCCTCATAATGCTGACGACTCATTTTTCAGCAGAAAGAAGTGAGGCTCAGAAGGGTTAAGTCACTCACTCAAGACCAGCTGTCTGTATAATACTGATGAGTTCTGGAAAGAGGGCCTGCGGCCTCAGCCATACACTCAGGGAGGGTCGAGCGGGACGCGCGGAACACCCGCCTTCGGGCTGTGCGCAGGCGCGCTCCGCGAAGACGGCGGGAGCGCCCTCGGGCTCAGCGCCTGCGCATTTGTCCGGCTTTGCGGCTGCACTGCTTGACGGCAGCGGTGTCCGTCCGCACTGGCTGGCGTTGCCGGGGTAACGGCGAGCGCGTGGGGCCGAAGAAGGTAAGGCCCCTGGAATAGGAGCCGGCGGCCTCCTGGGGCGCTGAGCCCTGTGGCCCTCAGCACACTGGGCAGGGGTGGGTTTCCACAGGAGGACACGTGGAACGAGAGTGAAAAGGGCCCAGAGACTTCACCCAGGTTGCACAGCCAGACCAGACTGGGTCGGGACGAGGAGCTAGGCTTCCCAATTCGGCCGGAGTTAGCCCCTCTTCCGGTTCTCAGTACTTCTCTTTCTTCATTCCTTCTGGGAACATTGACACCACGTCCAGGCCTGGGGAAGTCGACGTGCATTTGACCCCGTCTCTGCCCTAGAGGAGCCGCAGCCGCTAGTAGGGTTGCTGGGGGCAGGGAGATGGTGAGAGACACTCAAGGAAACCAGCAGATGGTTAAAACAAAGTTACGAATTGGGCCCTTAACACTTTTTTTGGCTTGTGTGGCGTCATTTACTGAGGTTGCAGCTGCCGTCTGGCTAGCAATTCCCCATGGTAGGCCCAGTACTAGGCGCCTACGCACAATTACCCATTTAATCCTCTTAACAGCCTTCAAAGGTTTATCGTTATTTGAAAACTCCCCAGAGGCTGGATTGTCGCCTTGTCCCCTTTATCCCTACCTCCCCTAGCCCAGGAGGTAAGCACTTGGCGTTTCAAACGTTTTTTAATTGGGAGAAGGTGAACTTTGCTGGGTGAGAGATTTTAACCAGGCTTGTTTGGCAAGATGGACCCAGAGAATTAGAAAATTAAATGTAGCTACCTCCCCCCTTTGCTTTGCTTTGTTTTGTTTGGAATACACATTTATTGAGCACCTAACAGGTGTTAGCTTATCTGCTCAAAGGGAATAAGAAAGAACAAGCCCTGCTTTGGAGAGAAAAGTAAACATACTTAACACTGCCAGCGCCTGGAGTCAGGTAATGCCCAAGTTTTGGAAAGGAAAAATAACCTCTTAGAGGTACATAGCACTCAGTTTCTCTGAGTCCCTTGCCTCATCTGTAGAATGGGAATAGTAAAGTACTTACCTCAGGGGTCTGCATGTTGAAATCACCTGGGTCCCAGAATTTCTGATGTAATTGCTCGTGAGGCCTGGGCATTGGGAGATGTAAATTTTCCTCAGGTAATTCTAAGGGTGGCCAAGCTTGAGAGCCACTGTTACATGCCACCCTGGGTTAATTTTCATAATCTCTTTTCACTCGTCATAATCTGCACTGGCTTCAAGTCTAAACCAACTTTCACATCCCAGCCCTCCTGACTGGGCTATTCCATCTCTGTGTGCTTCAGACATTGGTCTTTTAAGCCAGTCTCCTTACCATGCCTTGTCACCCTACCTTACTAACCGATTATCATCCTTCTCAATGGGGCTTTGTGCAAATGCCTTGCCTGCCCTCTCTAACCTGTTTCCTTGTCTGTGAAGTGGAGATAGTACCGGCCTGTGTAGCATACGGCACAGTCGTTGCCTACCTAGAATGTTGTACCTACCGATCATGATTACCTCTTCTAATGTTACATCCCACATTTGACATCATGTTGTTCTATCATGGTACTAAAGAAACATTCCTTAAACGAATATTGCAATTTTGGAGAGTAGTGAATTCCGTGCTTTCTCCCCTGCTTTGCCTTCCAAGTTCAGCACAAGACAACTCTTCCACAAAACTATGAAACGAGAGATCATCTCGTTTGTCCTATTGAATTTTTTAAATAATAGCTTTATTGAGAGATCATTCACATACCATAAAGTTCACCCTTGTAAAATGTACAATTCAGTGATTTTAGTATATATGGTTATACAACCATCACTGCAATCTAATTTTAAACATTTTCATCACCCTCAAAATAAACCCCATACCTATTAACGGTCACTCCCCATTTCTCCCTTCTTCCAGCACCTGGAAATCACTAATCTACTTCTTGACTCTTAAAGATTTGCCCATTCTGGACATTTCATATTAATGGTCTTACATAACGTGTGGTCTTTTATCACTGGCTTTCACTTAAAGTAACGCCTTCAAGGTTCATGCACATTGTAGCATGTATCAGTACTTCATTCTTTTATTATTGCTGATAATATTCCATTATATGGATATACCACATTTTGTCAATCCATTCATCTCTTGATGGAAATTTGGGGGGTTTTTTAGCTATTACTAAAAATACTGCTGTAAACATTCATGTACAGATTTTTGCATGAACACGTTTTCAGTTTTCTTGTATCTATACCTAGGAGTGGAATTCCCAGATCGTATGGTTACTCTGTGGTTAACATTTGAGCAATCTCCAGACTTTTTGAGTCTTATTTGATTTGAAGAGGAAGAAACTGGGCTCGGAGAGCTTAAGTGCATTATAAAGGTCAAACAATAGTAATGGAAGCTTTGCATATGTGGAAGGCTTCCTATGAGCCACATTCTTGATGTTCGTGTTGTCACATGGGCACAGGTCACAGTAGTACCGGATTTTGAGATTTTTGTGAAAAAGTGTTTTGTAACAGTAGCCCTGAGCCCCTATACACTTGAGTTGGAATACAGAGTTCTTGCCATCAAGTGTCATAGCTCATTCTTGCTTTATTTTAGAGTATAACAGCAATCTGAAAGGGAAAATCCTATACAAACCAGACAAAATGTTTTAATTTTTGCTTGTTTGAGAGAATTTAATTGTAAGTTCTTGAAATTAGCCATTAAACATTTTCTCTTTTTTACAAATTCCAAATGTATATGCAAGTCAAATACTAACCAGGGGTTGAGTTATAAAAGTGTAAATATCATAAAACTCTGAATCATTCCTGAAATCTCAAGAAAGTTCCTCATTGGAGATCAACATCCTGTCTCAAAAAAGCCAGCGCAACATTGTTTAAGTTTAGAATAAATTGCTATTTTCTTCAATTTAATACTAAATACAATAATTGGCTTGAGTCGGATAAATTGGCAAGTGAAAATCTCGTTAAAATGCTCTTGGAAGAAAATCTCTTAATTTCCCATTAACAACCGGTATACACGTTTTATTATGAATGCTATACAGCAGTGTGTATGTATGAATGCTATACAGCAGTTTGTATGTGTGTACACATACATACATCATAATGTGTACAGTCATGCTCATGTGATTCCTTTGAGGGATCTTATGTAGAAATTAGATTAGTGTTTTGATGCATGGAATACTTTGGCACTTCTATGAAGGTTCCAACTTGCTGACTCTTATTTTTCAGTTATCTTTGTAACTAATTTATCAATTTCTCTAACTCTTCCTTGGTCTATGTTTTCCTTTGTCCTCATTTAATTCTTCAGCTTCTTTGAGAGGGTAAAGATGTCATCACACATTGGACAAAGCTTTTAATTTCTTTTGAATGGTCATGAACCCTTAAAACCACTCACTTTCCTTTAGCTTTGGCTACCTTCATTGGCTGTGTCAGGCTTGATTGCATCCATTGCCCAGTGGGATGCTGGTACTGAGTGTAGGATGTGCCTAAATAATCAGTCCTGCTTTTTTCCTTGTTAGGGTTTGGAGCCACATAGATCAAACATATGTTTAACTCCACTGTATCTGGTATCTGCAAGCACCATATACGCTCTCAGTTTAAATCAAGTCCAGACGCAGGACAGAGGGAGCAGCAGATTTAAGTCTCCCATCTCATTCCAGGGCTTGTCTGCTTGTTGCGTGGAATGGCTGGCCCAATCTCTTGCATTGTTTACATTTTTTCCCATCTGCGTATGGTTGAGTTTTCTTAAGCTAAATGCATCTACTGTGGCTCTATATCTTTATCACACTGTACACTCAACTTTACTTCCTTCCTTTGGCCGTTACTGAATTGCAGCCTTTTGCATGTTAGATGTTTGTTTTGTCTCCTCAGGCCAAATGTAAGGCCTGAAAGGGAGAAGTACTGACTTCAACTTCCTTTACTCCATCTCAGTGCTGGGTGCACAGTAATTAATTCCACTAGTCTCTGTAACCCTTCAGCTTCTAACCCTGAGAAATAGTGAGCCTTCAGACAAAAGGGGAGAGATGCTACCTGTGTTTGCCGCAGAACCCAGAGAGAAGAACATGAGCTTTAATGTTCAACAGACCTGGGATTGTCCAGTGCCCCACTCTCCAGAGCCTTTCACAAAATCTGTGGGGTATTGATAGTGCTCACCCCATAACTATAATTACAGCAAATACATGCATAGCTCTCAGTTTGTGCTAGATACTCTTCTAAGCACTTTATGGGTCTTATAACTATAAGACAGGGAGACCAGAGCATGGAGAAATTAAGTAACTTTTGCCCACAATCACACAGCTGGGAATCAGTGAAGCTGATTCCCATCCTGGCACTCTGACTTTATAGTTCCTATTCTTAGCAACTCACATTTAGAGGTACGTAATAGACCCTTAAATGAGAACTGCTGTCGTTGTTGTTATTATTTATCAATTTACTCTAAAAATTAGAAGATGATTGACATAATGTGTAGAATGTATTTTAAGATCCTTTTTATGGAAAATGAAGTACTCACTGGATTTAATTATTTGAGGACAATGTCTCTTTTGGTTTTATCTTTATATCCCCAGCATCTCTAATTATTAGGAGCCTTGGTAGGTACTCAGTAAATGTCTGTTGGCTGAGTGAAAGAATGGGAGTAATCCTAATAGGCAGAAATCCTAATGCGCTTACTATCAAGAGACTTTTGCATTGCATTGTGACTTGGAGCATGTCACTAGGCCTCAGTCTTATCAGCTGTAGTTAGAAATAATGTCACTGACTTCTTGGGTATGTGGGAATTAAGTTCACTGCTTTATAAATATTTAATTTTCCCACAGACCACAAAGTTTCCTGAGCCTAGGTATAAATATACTTGCATTTCTGATCAGTGTAGTTATTAATGGACTGTTTCTTTCTCTTCATTATATTCTTTAAAGAACAATTATGCTTGAAAAATGGCGGAAGCAGTTTTCCATGCCCCGAAGAGGAAAAGAAGAGTGTATGAGAATTATGAGTCTCCATTTCCGATCCCTTTTGGTCAGAACTGTGGTCCCAAGAAAGACTTCAAAATATTCCGTGCTGAACTGATAAACAACAGTGTAATTGTGAGGAACACAGAAGATATTGAGCAGCTGTATGGAAAAGTAAGTGCAGGTGGTCTTGGCATGCTACTTCCTGCCAGCCCTGAGCCAGCTATCCTTTCTTCTTCTCCATCCACCCCAGAAACAAATCATGAATGACTCATATTTTTTCTTGCTATTTGGTCCCTGGTAGGAACACTACAATTTGACTCAGGTGACTTGAAGCCATATATCATGAGGATAACTCCCCAACCCTGAACCCACATTTCATCAATGAAGTAGGGTCAGTACATTGCCCTTTCTTGTCCTTCAATGAAGTAGGGTCAGTACATTGCCCTTTCTTGTCCTTCAATTATAAAAGCAACGTATGTTCATTATAAATAAAGTGAGGCTTCAACATGTACTCTGGTGCCTTATCTGCTCTCTTGTCCTAGTTGGGGACCTCTTTTTACATGAAGACAACTTCTAGTTTTTGCTATTTTCCATTAGTAAAAGGTTTGGTTTGAGAATGGTAGCTTGCTTCCCCCCATTCCCCCCCCCCCACCCCCGCCACAGCTAATTTGTCACTAGGGGTATTTTATAAACAGCTTTATTGAGGTATAATTTACAGCCATAAAATTCACCTATCGTAAGTGTACAATTCAATGATTGTAGTAAATTCGAGTTGTGCAACCACTGCCACAATCCTGTTTTAGAGCACTTACATCAGCACAAAAGTTCCCTCATGCCTGTTGCACTTAATCCCTGCTTCCACGCCCGAGACACCCACTGATCAATCCACTTCCTGTCTCTATAAATGTGCCTTCTCTAGACATTTCATATAAAATATATAGGTTGTAGCCACCTTTCCAAAGTGGGTGGCATTGATCCTGGTGAGATAGGGTCTAGGCCAAGGGCAGTCTCTCCACATTCTCAATACATAAAATTAAGCTATACAAATGTGCTATACACATTTATTCTGATTGTTAAATCTAGGTGAAGGGTAAAGGGTTTCATTTTATTACTCTCAAATTTCTATGGGCTTAATATTTTATAATTTTAAGAAATGAGGGAAAAAATTTATGTTTTTGGAATCAGCAGAAGGAGAGGAATACTTCAATTCTAGGTATAAAAGAATTCAAGAGCTTTTTGTACATGGTAGACTTGGCTCCTGTTTTTAGGCACACTGCTCCTGACCCACATGTGAAGAAGACACCCTGCCTCTGCCTGCCCCATTGCCTTCAGCTTATCAGACCTAGACTGAAATTGCTATGAGACAAACGAGGTATACTAAAAACTTACTAGCACTCTTCAAATGATCTGAGAGATAAAATGCTAAGATCCTCATTAGTAATCATTAGATAATCAGAGGAAAGATGTAAAGCTGTGAAATGTGGGATAAATCTCTTATCAACTGAAATAGTTGTTATCCTTCCACTAAAAAATTGATAACTAAAGGCAAACTAACCTTATTTTCTTTTTTCCTGGAAGGGTTATTTTGGAAAAGGTATCCTGTCTAGAAGCCGTCCAAACTTCACAATTTCAGATCCTAAGCTGGTTGCTAAATGGAAAGGTAAACTTGTGCATCATTTACTTCTTTTGGAAAATTATTATTATCTTTCATTTTTGATCTTCCATCTCAGATTATATAGTAAAGTTCTAGAGGAGAAGTAACATGCACACTGACAATTTTACTGCTAAAAATAGTAACTAGAATCATTCTAATCAAGGTGAAAGGGTTCTTATAATTGGTGAAAATGTGTCTTATTTAATTTCTGGAATTAATCAAAAGTGTTTATTCAGGCATTTCTGTTGTTAAGCACTGCCTACCAGAGTACTATACATGTGGAAAGTACTAGTAATTAAGTACCTGCTCACCTGTATGCAAAATGAGTTTTATTTCTAGAATTTGAATTTACAATAATAACCATAACATCGATGTATTTGGTAAAACATACTAATGTGTGTAGTTCTCACTTGCTGGTCCTCTTTTCTTTATAAATCTTTTAGTATAGTTCTCTAAGGAAGTCTCACGGTAATTACATAACCAATACCAGCAGGTAAAAACATAATTAGAAAGAATTTTTAAAAACATTTTATTGTAAGAAAAAATTAAAACTGTACTGAGATACCATTTCAGCAATCACATTGGCACAAATCCAAAAGTTGGACCATTGGCGAGGCCCTGAGAAACACTCATGCATTTCTGCTGGGAGTGCAAGTGATACTGTCGTTATAGAGGGGAATTCGGCAATATCTAGCAAAATTGTATGTACATTTACTTGTCTCCCCCATCCTTCTCTCCTCCTAACCTCTGGTAACCTTAGTATGCTTTCTTTGTCTATGAATTTGCCTTTTCTAGATATTTCATATAAGTGGAAACATACATTATGACGACTCTTGTGTCTTTTCAGTTGAGATAATGCTTTCAAGTTTCATCCATGTCAGAACTTCATCCTGAATAATATTTTATTGTATGAATATACCATGTTTTGTTCATTCATCCAAAGATGGACATTTGGGTGGTTTACACTTTTTGGCTGTTATGAATAGTGCTGCTGTGAACTTTCATGTACAAGTTTTTGTGTAGACATGTGTTTTTATTTCTCTTTGGTATATATGCCTAGGAAGGGACCTGCTGGATCATATGATAATTCTATTTTAATTTTTTGAAGAACTGCCAAAATGTTTTTCAAAACACCTACACTGTTTTACATTCCCCCCAGCAATGCCCCAGCATTCCAATTTCTCCACGTCCTTATCAACACTTGTTATTTTCTGTTTTTGTTTTCGGTGATAACCATCCTAATGAGTGTGGAACATTAAAAGCGTTTAATTTTTACTGAAGTCTAGTTTATATATTTTTTCTTTTGTTGCATGTGCTTTTGCTGTTATATTTAGGAAAGCATTGCCAAATCCAAGTTCAGGCATATTTTCCTCTACATTTTCTTCTAAGAGGTTTATAGTTTCAGTTCTTAAATTTAGGTCTTTGATCCAATTGGAGTTAATTTTTGTGTATGATATAAAGTAAGGATCCAGCTTTCTTGTTTTATCTGTGGATATCTAGTTGCCCCAGTATATGTATTAACTTTTAACTCAGCAATTTCACTTCTAGGAATTTAGCCAAAGACACAATGGCAAAAATATGAAAAGAAATACCACAAGGCTATTCATTTCAACACAATTTCTAATATTAAAAGACTAGAAAAACCGAAATGTCTATAAGGAGGGGACTGGTTGAATAAACTTTCATGCATTCATATAATGCAGTACTGTAGAGCTGAGATAGGAATGAGGGGTCACTAGAACACATTATTAAGTGAAGAAAGCAAGGTGAAGGAAAGTCTGCATAGTGTGAGATAGGGGAGAGTATAAATATAACTTTGAGCCATAGGAAGGATAATATTTTTAATGTCTATCAGGGAGGGATGAAATAGGATGGAATGGGAGATGAGATTTTATAGATTTGACTTTGGAACCTTGTAAATGTATTACATGATTACAAAACAAAGTTAAGTTTTTTGAAGTAATTCTTAAAAAAAATAGAACTTGTATATCAAGTTGGTAGTATAGCCACAATGGGGGAGCTATTTTGAGTGACTTTAAAACATGCTAATTTGATTGTTTAATCCTAATGGGGTAAACTTTGTGTCAGTTACCTCTTGCCACATTGTTTAACAAACCACTCCAAATTTCAGAGGCTTTCAACAATTAAATTGCTCACTAGTCTGTAGGTTTTGCTGGGTAGGTTTTGCTGGGTAGGTCTGCTGATCTTGGCTGGATGTGCTCATCTGTATGGTTATTGGAGCTGGCTGCTCCAATGGATCAAATTAAGCTCACTAGTATCTGGTTTACTGACAGTTGGCTATCAACTGGTCTAGAATGTCCTCAACTGGAATGAGGGGTAGGGGCTAACATGTGTGTCATCCTCCAGCAGGCTAGCCAAGGCATGTTCTCATGGTAATGGTGGAAGTGCTTTTCAGGCCTCTGCTTGCATCATGTTTGCTAATATTCCATTGACCCAGAGTCAAAGCGTTTAGCAAATGGAAGATCTGAAGAACTGGGGCAGTCAACCTGCCATATACTCTAAAGAAAGAGCGAGCTACAAAATAATCTTTACATTGTTTTCAGCAATTATTTGATGGGTGGTAGTATTGTTACCACTATGCTGAGACTGTGGTATATGTGTGTATATATATATATCATATTGTATAATAAAGCAAATGAGTATGTTGGTGTGGTTGAGAGCAGCCAGGATTTTTTACATGAAACATCTTGTACCAGGAAGCAAAGAAGCTATCAAAAACTACTAATCTTGTTTCAAAAGAGGCTTCCACTGGCCGTGGAAACATTTGAGCATCAACATGAATAATACTACAATTTATTTTGCAATCCGTTCATTCACAATAATAGCCAAAAATGCTTGAATACTTTAGTTCATCCTGATACATCCCAGATGAAATACATTGTTCACCTGTGGAAGATTCCTCATTTTGAAAACTGGTAAACGTGAACTGGTTCTAAGGGTAACCAAACAGTGAGGAATTTCTCTTTATAAAAGAATCCTGCTAATAAATAAAGAAGGAATAATAGAATTAGAATATCACCATTTTGTAACTTCTAATGAATTATTGGATCGAGGCATTGATCAACAATGGTGGCATAAAAGCCAACAAGACATAATAGAATAATAGAATTAGGATATCACCATTTTGTAACTCCTAATGAATTATTGGATCTAGGCATTGATCAACAACAGTGACATAAAAGCCAACAAGACATTTTGTGGCTTCTAATAGAAACATGCTGCATCACCTATAAAGTAGGCTTTCCAAAAAATCAAGCCTAAATCTGATCAAGCCTCTAGTTCCACCAATTCACAGGAGACACAGGGAACAGAGGAATGTGTTAAGCCAGTGTTGCGCAGAGTATTGAAGTGAAGCAAAATGAGACCTTTGCACCAGAACAAAAATAGATCCCATTCCATTTAGCTACAGCTAGTTAACTATTTACCTACAGCTTCCTTCTCCATGAAAATCTGACTGTGAGAACAAGGTGAGCTGAACTAGGCAGTGTGCTTAGTGAGACAATTATTTAAAGGTTGGCACAAGACCTTCATCTCTTCTTGGACCAGCAGGCCTGTGGCTGCCTTTGAGTAGCACTGTGTTAACAGCACAACAGGGATGCAATCATCCACAGCCAGACTGGAGGAAGTTCTACAAGACAGAGGACCCATTTCTTCAACAAATGAGTTTCAGAGAAAAAAAGTCATGGCAGGGAAACCTATATGTTAGAATCAACTTCAGATACATCGATCAGTTGCAATGTATGGGCATTATTTGGCTTTTGAGTCAGACTTTCCAAAAAAGAAAAAAGCTTTGAGACAATACGTAGATTTTGGATAATGATAAGGAATTAATATCAATTTTTTAAAAGTGCAGTAGTAGAATTGTGGTTATATATTTTTTAAAGTCATTATAGAAATACATACTGAACTATTTCAAGGTGAAATGATATGATAGGAAGCATCTGTTTCAAAATAATTTGGAGATCAGGAGTGGGCAGAAAAACAGATGAAGCATGAGTTAATTCTTAAAGCTGAGTGATGGGAACATGGGAATTTATTATGCTATCCACTCTACTTTTTATATATTTTAAACATTTTTCATTGTAAAGTTTTTAAAAAGAGAAAGTAGAGCAAGTAGCATAATGACCTGCCTATACCATCACCCAACTTTGGCAGTTACCAATATTTGGCCAAAAATGTATAATCTTAACAATTGAGAATCTTTTCTTGATCTGTGTAGTAACTAATTTTTAAATGGTGATAGAAATTTGAAGGAAATGAATTTATGCCAAGGAAACAGAAATTAAGATTGTAGACTCCTCTAAAGAAGTAAATCTCAAATGTCTATTTTAAGAGTTTCTTCAGAATCTTCCACCCTCCCCTCTATCCACTCACTTGTTGGCACCAGCCACCTGGAGTCCTTGCCATTTCATGAACCTGCAACAGGTATTTGTTGTCTCAGGCTTTGTGCAATGCTTTCCTTGCCTATTTCTCCCCTCCTCCCAGTCTACTCAGTGAATTCTTATTCATTCTTTAGAGCCCAGCTCAATTATTTTTCCTCCTTTTTGTTTTTTCCTAACCCTTCCAGGTAAAGTTAACTAGACCCTTTATAATACTTGGTCATATATCAGCTTGGGTTAGAATCAGTCATTTCTGTTTTGTATCGCCAACTAGACTGTGAGCATCTCAGGAAAGGAGATTTGCTTTATTCTGTATTTTTAGTGCTTGGCACATGGAAGACTGTCAGTAAAACTTGCTAAATTGTTGTTTATTGTAAAATTACCAAAGGATGAAGGTAATAACACTGAGAAAACTGACAAATTCCTAATGAGGTAAGAGTCTGTGAACTCACTTTCATAGGGCTTTAAAGCTGAACATCATCTATTTCAAGCCTTTAATGCAGCGATCCCCAACCTTTTGGCATCAGAGACCGGTGCTCCTATGAAAATCAAATGCCTGATGATCTGTGGTGGAGCTGAGGCAGTGATGCTAGCACTGGGAAGGAGCTGCAAATACAGATGAAGCTTCACTCTCCCACCACTCACCTCCTGGTGTGCAGCCTAATTCCTAACAGGCCATGAGCCAATACTTGTCCATGTCCTGGAGGTTGGGGACCCCTGCTTTAATGCACTGGAGATAAGGCCAAATTTGGGGAAGGAGAAATGACTTGCCCAAAGGCGGAGTCAGGGAGGACTAGAACTAAAACCCAATAAACATTTTAGGTGAAAAGAATCTCCCAGCCAGATGACCAGAGCTAGTAGAGACCAGAATTCCCAAATCCACACACCCAAAACTAACACCACCATAAAATTTAACAACCCTTTCTATAGGCACAATTTTCACTGAAGATGCTTTATGGAGCATGGAAGAGTGGGAGTAAAGGTTGTAACTTTAGGGCCTCCGTATTCTCATCTAAAAGTAGAAGGCATAAGCATTCAGAGGTGGCAGAGAGGATTCCTCTTGCATGTCATCGCTGCCTAGCTATAGTGTTGAGTTAAGAATTCTTAGATCACATCTGAGCCCAGCAAGATCACTGTGATTGGTCAGGTGCGCCTGCAGGGAATGATGGAATATAAAGCATATGTTTGCCATTGTTAGTTGGACAGGATTAGTCAACCCTCTAGGTGTATAATTTTGTGAATCTTGAAATTCTCTCTGTTTTAGATTTTCTGTGTTTTTCCCCTCAAGGACAATTTTGTCTAAACTAATAAAATTTCTTTGTTGTTACAGATATGAAGACAGACATGCCTATAATCACATCAAAGAAGTAAGCCATGGTGAACTTTGGCCTTGATCAAAATTATGGTTTAAGTCAGATCTACTTTTATTTTTTTAATATTTTTTAACTTTTTAATTATAGTTGGCATACAATATTCTGTTAGTTTTAGGTATACCACATAGTGATTAGACATTTATATGACTTATGAAGTGATCATCCAATAAATCTAGTACCCATTTGACACCATACATAGTTATTACAATATTATTGACTATATTCCTTATGTTATACTTTACGTCACCATGACAAAGGATTTGGCTTAGGATTATTTTTAAAAATAAACTTAATTAGTGCATTTCAAATATGGTTTGATCCACATTAAATTTTCAAGGACACACCTACTACTACTACAAAAAAAAGCATGACTACCACATCAGAAAAAGTTATCTAAAAATAGATCTGATTTGTAAATGCCAGTCTGTACTTCTTAACCCATTTCTCATTTGCCCCAAGAATACTTGCACATGGTACTTGGGGCTGCATTTACCCTAAGATGACTTGTGGATTACAGCCTTACCTCCAAAGTTTGTCACACAATATCTCGCTTTTATTATTATTTTCATATCGCTCTGGTATATCAGTAGCCTTTGGAAACAAATGACATCATTCTATTTATAGCATTATGTTTTTAGTAGTGTTATTTTCCATTTACAAAATATAGTAATTATCAATTGCTGAAAATGTCAAATCCTAGAAAACATAGCATTCTTGCATGTGATGTTAACATTGTTCTGGAACAGTAGTTAGCCTAAGATTCATTTGATGAATCTTATTTATGTATACATTTCTGATATATTAGGATTATAGACAAGTTCTGTTTAGAAATAACTCCACAAACAGTTTTTATACTTTTTCACATTGAAAACCAATCAGATTTGCTTCAGCCTCAAAGAGCATGTTTATGTAAAATTAATGCTAGCAGCGAACTGCACTGTTTTTTTCTAAACAGGAAATGGATTAATTTCTTCCCCCTTTTCACCCACCTTCCCCAATCCCTTCCCATTAGTCAACCATCAAATATTCCATGTACCTATTAATTTGTTTCAAATCAGATCTATTTTTAGATAACTTTTTCTGATGTGGTAGTCATGCCTTTTTTTGTAGTAGTAGTAGGTGTGTCCTTGAAAATTTAATGTGGATCAAATCATATTTGAAATGCACTAATTAAGTTTATTTTTAAAAATAATCCTAAGCCAAATCCTTTGTCTCTTGAATTCCTTTCGAAATATGAACAGCTAACCTATAACATATATGTCTTTAAGTTCTAAGATGCTTAGATTTAGAACCACTCTCCTGTTGCATGTGGGCATAAACGACCCTGTGTGAGCATAAATCTGCCTTTTTCCTTGCTCTACAGTTTTAAGGTTAGAGAAGGAGGCTCTCGGGGACTCTTGCTCATCCATTCATACAGTTGTGACTCCTCTAGGTTCTTGTTTATGCTGTTTCCATTTCTCAGAACATTTCTCCCTAACCCCACAAGCATGCACACTGCCTGGCTCTTTCCTGCACATCCCACACACAGCTTACTTGTCACACTGTCTTAGAGTTTCTCTCTTCACCACTCTTCCCTCAACTGAGTTGAGGTCATTCCTCGGGCTCTCACAGAGTCTGCTTTGTCGCCCCTCACTGTGCCAATTGTTATACACCTAGATCTAGATTGTCAGTTCTTGGAGAGCAGGGACCATGCCTGGCTTCTCTCTACATCCCCAAAACTTAGTGGTCCCTTAGTAGGATTTTGTTGATTAAATGGTCATCTAAATCTTCATCATCCCTGAGGTACAGCTCTTCCTTCTAAAACTACTCAAGTCCACAGTGATTTTTCATCTTGTTTCTAGCATGTACTGGCAGAATCTGACAGCTCCTTTTTGATTACATGCCCAGTAACTCCATGGCCAGAGTGGCCGGGAGGCAGTGGCACCAAGAAGATCTTGATGGATGCTTCGGCTAAAACCACAGGCTGAGGAAAGGTGTTGGGTTCTAGTCTGTGGAAGGGGCCTGCTAAGAACCTGGCAGAACCACCCTCCCTCACCCCACCCCAGGAGGGGATGCAGTATAGGCAGATTGCTCCAACCGACACTGAGACTCAAAAATAGATCAGAAGCCCACCCCTCAGAACTGCATCCTGATCAGGCTGACAATAAAGATAACACGTTGTCATGCCAGTTTGAATATGTAAGGTTCTGGATGATGGAGATTGCCACCTACCTTAAGGTTATCTCTTTATAAGCTCTGCAATGTAACATTCCAAGAATTTTATTAACCCTTGTATTAGTTCCTAGGGCTGCCATGACAAAATACCACAAACTTGTTGGCTTAAAAGAATAGAAATTTTTTCTCACAGTTTTGGAGGCCAGAAATCCAAAATCAGGCTTCAGTAGAGCTGTCTAGGGGAGGATCCTGCCATGCCTCAACTTAGCTTCTGATGATCACCATCATGATCATCATAGCCAATGGGTGCTGATTGCTCCAATAGTGCCAGTTACTGGTCTATATACCTGTATCATCTCAGTTCATCTTCTCAAGAAACCTTCGAAGTAGGTATAGTCGTTTCCATCCCATACATGGGAACCTGCAAATATCTTTTCCAAGATTATAGGAGCTCAGACCAGGCTGCCCAACTCCCGAGCCTGAGAGGAATTGACACATAATAAGAACAATAACATAGTTTTACATGCTGGCATTTCTTGAGTATGTTCCATGTGCTAGGTACTATGCTAATAACAGGTTTATGGAGTATTTCCTTCTGTCCTTGCATCACCCCTATGAGGTAGGTCCTGTTATCTGTCTTTGATGGGGGAGGAAACTGAACCAGCAGAGTTTAAGTAACTTGCTCAAGGCCAGTACTTGGACCTAAGCAGACTGATTCGAAACCATTTTGCTGTGAACTTCCAGTGATAAGTGGGTATTAATCATTAAGATGGTGGAGAAGGATGTTCTGTGGAAATGGTGTGTTCAGGGCACAGAAACATGAGAAGCTGAGATGTGTTCAGATGGTACCATTCGGTATTCGTGCTGCCCTAAAGTGGATCTGCTTTTCATCAGTCTCATTACTATTTCTAATCAGGGCTGCCACCTTTCTCTTCTGCCACTCTCTCCCTTATGTTTTCTCTTACTGTTTCTCTTACCATTTCTCTAGCAGTGTTTGGGGTTAATCTCAGCAGGACTTGGCTTCTGAAGTCATTGCCAGCCAATGAGAGGATACCTGCTCTGTGACTCATATGCCATATGTCATTTGTGTATCTGGCTGTTTTCATCACCAGTCTTACTCAGAGGCTTTCTTCTACATACTTTTGCAGCCAGTGTCTCATTTGAGCTTTCATAAATGAACAGCTGAGGTCATTATAAGTCAGGAATGCAGGCATGATTCTGGCATTTGGCAGAAGAGCAGAAAGAGATGTAGAGGTGCTAAGTGGCTTAGCGGAGAATCACAGAAGAGCCGACTCTAGAACCCAGATGTGGTGCAGCACTTGTCCCCACATGGCTGCCCCTGCTCTCAAAGAGCAGTTAATTAAGGTATACATTTCCACTCATTAAAATATTATTTGCTTTTTTAAATGTGATAGTCAAAATGTTTTTATTTCTCAAGTCTCCCTAAGAACCTCACAATAGATATAAATATAGTAATGTACAATAAATAAATATAGTAACAAATATTTATTGAGCACTTACTATGTCCTGAGCTCTTTACATATCTTGTCTCTTTTAATCCTTGCAACAACCCCATGAGGTAGGTACAGTTAATTTCTGGTTCACAGAGGAAGAACTGAGCCCTTAGAGAAGACGGTATGTAGCTAGTACAAGAATATCATGGAGTGAGGCTTTGAGCCTACATCTGCCTTAACTTCTCTTTTGCAAAGAGTAGAGCAAGGACCTGTGTGTGCACGCTCTCTCTCTCAGTTCCACATCTTCTGCTAAAAGGGGGAACTGTTGAACCTTTAATTTAGTGGTTCTTTCACATATTTCGAGTCAAGGAATTTGGTGAAAGTTGCAGATCCCTTTCCCAGAAAAATATACATTGGCACAAAAATTCATGTTCAAATAAAGGAGATTCACAGACCTGTGAGGTCTATAGAGGCAGTGCTTTAGATAATATAAAGGGCAAAGAAAGTTCTTTTAACGGCATGCAAGGGTGGCCATACTTTTCATACAGGTGAAAAGATATCCTACTGTTACATGGGCAGCTACATTTTTTACCCTGATTATAAAAAGTACATAATGTGATCCTTCTTAGGTAGTAGTACTGTTTTCCCCATCTTATGGATGGGAGACTGGAGCACAGAGAAGGTATGCAATTGCCTCAGTTATAAGTGACAGGGCCGAACATGAAATGTGCAATACCAAAGTCCATGCATGTAATCACTGCATCATCCTGCCTCTTTGGTGCTAGAGTAGCCTTGCCAGGTTTTCATCATGAAATCTAAGATACCATTCCCAATATATAGGAATGCGTGCTCATCCCTACATAGGCTAAACAGAGTGGAGAGCTTAGAAATTCTTTGATTAATTAGGATTAAGCAGCCACAGATCTCTTTTTTAAATACAACAAGCCAACTTCCTTGTTTAATCATTTGTGAGATGTAGCAGTTTATAAGCCATGACATATTCAGTCATCTATATACAGACAAAATAGTCAAGGTGAAGAGTAAAATTGCCGCTGTCTTCCCACAAGCCACATGTCTTCTTAGGTGCTTTTTAAACTAACTGCTGTAGGTAGAGGCATAAGTGCTTGAGTTTCACAATGTCTTCAAGCCTTCCACTGATCAGACTTCTTACATATGGGGTGATCTCGCATCCCATGAATGCTTTTCAGCAATGTTGTTAGGTGTTGATACTTCTTCACCAGAGCAGAACCCTGTTGTTTAACCTGTAACTTTGTGTAACCTGGGAAGTGTGTTCAGGGCTTGCCTTCAAGTTTAAGAAACTAAGCATGAATTTTCTCATTAAAATATACTTGAAAAATTATCATGAAAAAAGGAGCCACTTCCATTAGGATGCATGGCTGTATGTATATAGCCACAATCATTTCTTTCCATGGGCGGTGGAGACATTCGGAGGTACTATGAACAAAATTTATTGAAATTTTCATTTTTGCTTTCCAATACTAAACAAAAGCTCTTTATATTATGAATGGAATATGTATATATACACAGATATATATATTTATACATCTGAATATATATATATATCTGAAAACGTGATATCTAAAATTGAAAATAATATGCAACAAATCTTGACAAAGGATGGCCATTTTCTCTTTATAGTTACCTAAATCATTTGATCTACCGATTTTAAATTACATAAATTTTCATACTTTGTTAAACTGGGGTCAATTTTTTTTTTCAAATTAAGCAAGTTAAATGAAGCTCTATTATAAAAACAAACAAAAAGTAATACGTGTGTATTATAGAACAGCTAGAAAATGCAGATGAGTTTTAAGAACACATTTACTTATAGCCCACCATTGAGAAAAACCACTGTAAACATTTTGGCATACTACTTTTCGATCTTTTTTACATGCTCTCTTGTCTTTTACATATTAAAATTCAAGTGTTACTAACAGTGTTTCTGTTTTGCAGGTATCAGCGTAGTGTAGAATGGGCCACACAGCTCTTGCGAAGACAGGGGCAGGATGAGAACACAGTGCATAGAATCCTCAAGGATTATACAAAACCGCTTGAGTACCCTTGTATAAAAAGGAATGAAGAGGTTCAGTTGCATGACGAGCTGGGCTCTGAAATGCTCTCCAAAATAGAAGGCACAGCAGATAGAGAGAATCTTTCTGTGATGAACGGAGATGGGGGGAAGTCAGACTATATGAAGGATCCCAGCAAGCAATCAGACTGCCTGCAGGAAGGCTCTGGGCATGACCCACAAACCGCAGATGGCTTGGATGAACACATGATAGAGGTCGCTGCACCTCTGCCCCAAGTCCATTGTGGCAAACAAGATGTTCTGCCCTGGTGTGGTGCTCAGCCTGAGAACAGCAGTCAACGAGAAGGTTTCATCTGTGCTGGAGAAAGAGGGCCTGATGATGAATATGTGCTGGTGGAGGAAGTCGTGGGTGATGTGACCGAAAGGGAAGATGCCCCAAATGAGGAAGTAAGTAGAAGAAAATACATCATTTCCTCCAAAGCCATCTGTTTCTGGCCCATAGGAGATTTTGGCTAATTGGATGCCCCTTACTTGGAACTGGTAGCGGGTCCATATTAAACATCCAGGATATGTGAGAGGTGGTCAGGACACCACACTGCAGACACTTTGAGGGAACCAGCAGGCACTGGGTCCTGCCCCAGTGGCTTAATAGTTGTGAGGGCTATTTTAACTAAAACGTTCAAGTTTGTGAATAACTTAACCTTAAAAAATGTATAAATTAAAGCAAGTCCAATAATCCCCTTGTTTGGAAGAAAAATAAATGCAGTGGTGATTGCACAGTCTTGAGTGTAGCGGTGGGGGCAGGCTTCGAGTGTGGACATCAGCCATCACAAGAGAAGCAGTGGGAAGCAATTAACAGCCACTTCATTAAGGGGTGCACTGTCAGAGTTGCCCTAGAATTATCCGTAATAGTTAAAAAGTAGAAATAATCTAATGGTTAAGTAGTATGTGAAACTCCTACTTGAAGAAATGTTATCTAGCTTTTCAGATGAGGTTTATGAAGTCTCATTAAGAACCTAGGCACATGCTTGTAAGGTACATACAGTTGGGTGGGAAAAAAGGCCCATAAAATCTACCAACAAAATGACCACAACCATGGGAAAAATTCATGGGGGCAGAAAGGAAGGAAATAAATCAAAATGTTAATAGTAGAAAAACTAAAACTTTATTGTCCACATAGGTAATAAAAAATTATTTTTTAACAGTATGAATCGAACAAATGTAAATCTGAGAAATTTATAGGAAAACTGCATTTTAAAATGTGATCTATATAACACGTAGTACTTCCATTTGTTCTACATGTTCCTTTTATTTCCTTTTCTTCAGTTGGTGCAAAAAGGGAGACTAACATGCAGAAGAAATCCATATAGGATCTTTGAGTATTTGCAACTCAGCCTGGAAGAGGTATGTTTTCAGCATGTTCTCTTAGCTATTGGTCTCTGGGCTGGGGCGACACTGTATAGATGAGTCTACCTCAAAATGCACTTCTGTGTGTGAGTCAGTAACCAAGAATTCAGTAACTGAATATCGTAATTTGGTATTGACATCACCCGAGGCAGTTTCCAAAGTAGGCCTGCCTAGATTTCACTCTTTAGCCTTCATTTTATCAATTCTAAGGTGTGTGGGATGGGGGTGGGGTGGGGTTGCCTGGGGGCCTTTCCTATATCATTCCACAGAGGTTTCAACAGGTTTGTCTAAACATTTCTTTTCACCTCAAGGTTTAAGATTGGCCAAATATTATGGTACTAATTTTCCCAGGTTCTAAAAAAAAATGTAGTTTATTGCGACATAGTTCACATACCATATGATTACCCATTTAAGGTGTACAGTTCAGTGATTTTTAGTGTATTTGTGGAATTTCTCCAGCTTTTAATAAGCTATATTGCATGCTTCCAGTCATGTAATAAGTGACTGCTAATTACCTAAATGGACTCTAGGTATTTCCTTCTGCAGAACAGAATTACTAATGCACGTTCTCGTTATTGAAAGCAGGGGTCCCCAGCCCCTGGGCCGCAGACCAGTACTGGTCCGTGGCCTGTTAGGAACTGGGCCACACAGCAGGAGGTGAGCAGCGGGCAAGTGAGCGAAGCTTCATCTGTATTTGCAGCCGCTCCCCAGTGCTAGCATCACCACCTCAGCTCCAGATCATCAGGCATTAGATTCTCATAGAAGCATAGGTCCTGGTGCCAAAAAATTTGGGGACCACTGAATAACTGCATTCTCAAAAGTTGGCTTAAAAAGTGGCTTTCTAACAACTGTATCATTTTTCCTCTCATTTGGAGTTTCTCTGTCTTGTGTTCATGTGACTTTCAGCTCCACCTTTTTTGCTTATGTTTATACTGTACACAGAAATGTCCCTTCTGCCCTTCAAGATAGCATCCCTTCCTCAGTCTCATGTCCATGGGTGTGCTTCTTCTCCAAAGGAGTGCTCTTGCCTACCTCGGATAGCCTCTGCAGTGTCTAGTACAGTTCCTGGTGTATATGTAGGTCTCAGGTGTGCTTCTTGAATGCATCCACATTGGTAATTTTATAGATGTGTCCTCAGAGAAGTAATTGTGTTTCTAGATCCTCTTGATCTCCTGATCTGTGCTTTTTGTAGTGAGGCCAACAATACAAAGAACAGACTTTCAGAGCAGGAAGGATGTTTGGAATTATTTACTTCATCTCCTCATTTTACAAATGAGATAGCTTAGTCTGCTGTAGAGTACAGTAGCCACTAGCTGCATATGACCATTTAATTAAAATCGAAAAAAATTCAAAATTTTGTTTCTCAGTTGTGCCAGCTGCATTTCAAACACTCAACAGCCCCATCTGGCTAGTGGCTACTCTCTTGGAGTACATATATAGAACATTCCTATCATCACAGGAAGTTCTGTTCACAGCACTGCGGATACCCGTTCCCTAAGTGCTTGAGCCTCAGCTTCTCTGTAAAATGAGGGTTATGTAACACCTTGTTCATAAGATATTCTAGAAACTAAATCATGCATGTAATATACAGTAGCTAGTATATAGTAAATGCTTAATAAGTGTTAGTGTCTGCTATTCTGTCATTGTCATCGTTATTAAGTTACTTGTAAAAGCTATTTAGTAGCTGACTGGAACTCTTTTTGTCAATTAGTGCTTTGCAGAAATATTCACTGGGTATTTACTATGTGCCAGGCACTGGGTTAAGTACCAACAATACAGAAATAAATAGAATATGACTCTGGTCCTAAAGATAGCACAGAAATAATTACAATTCAGTGTGAAAAGCACAGTATGGTATATGGATTGTGCCAGTGTTACTCCTCTTGTATCCTTGTACCCAATGCCGACATCTATTAGGTGTTTAATAATTATTTGTTAAATGGATATGTACAAGGTATGGAATTTGCATAGAATTTGATGGAGTCCAAAGAGACACGAGCTAACTGGATAGACTTTGCAGAGTAAGTGATATCTGTGGATGTTAAAGAATAAGTAGAGGATTGCCAGATAGACAGGGGACAGCATGGATTCTTTCATGCAGCTCAGTCCTAGAAGTGGCAGCACAGGAGGGCTAGATCATGGAGGACATGTCTATGAGTAGGGGTCTGACCTGGGCCTGGTGCACCAGGGCACTGCAGATGGTGATGTGGAGGAGCGACAGGGACCAGAGCTGGCTTCAGTATGAGCGTGGACTGGAGGGTTGAGGCCATGAAAAGCCTGTCAGCCTCTCAGCTCCAGGAGATGACAGCAGTAGGCCTAAAAAGAATATCAGGTATCAGAAACTAGCGGGTACAGCCTCACTGTTCCAGGTGGGTGACCAGTTGATGCTTTTTAATGACAAGTAAAAAAAGGTGCTACTGTCTTCTGCCTTCTCCCAGACACTCCCTGAAGAAAGGCAAGAGTAATGAGATAGCAGATGAGATTGCTCTGCACTCTTGGATGCTGCGTGGCTCCTGAGACTATTCCAGAGACGTGTTGCAGAAGTTCTCAAAGAGCATACAGTTAAACCTAGCTCTGCTTCTCAGTTCTGTTTGGCAAATTTCCTTTGAATGATTCAGCCATGTTTGGCACACCGCTTCTACAGTTTAATGTGTTTCCATAAATGTCTGTCAGGAACATGGGCAGTCCTGCCGTGATGATTCAAAGCAGTTCTTTTTAAGGACTGAGAATGGTGATACCACAGCTGACTTAAAGATCTGCTTCTTAGAGATCTGTTACTGAGAGCTGTTTTTCTGTTATAATGATTTGGGCCCTAACTAGATTTTGTGATACGATGTTAAAATTATCATGAAAACTCATCCCTCCATCTTATTAGTACTATCAAAGCAAAAACTTACTAATGAGATCTCAGAAGACATAATTACCAACCTCTACAGATCTCCCCAGTCTGCTGATGATTTAATTTTAAATAAAATCAGCTCAATTGAATTAAGCTCCCCTCCATCTGTGATAAGTGTCTAAGAGCCTTTTTGCATAGATTCATAAAAGCTATTTGAGGCCAATAAAAATGAGGCATTGGTTTCATCAGTTCTTAGGAAAATATATGTTTGCTGATAATGGAAAGTTTCCGAAGAACTTAAATTATAACAGATACCAGGAAGAAATCTCTTGCTAGGAAAAAGATGAACTTTTCTAGCCTACGAAATCTAAATTGTTTTTATAAAGGGAAGGAAATTAAAATGAATTGAGCATAGCTTTTTAAATCTTTATGACACACTGCTGGTAGAAATGTAAATTGATACAGCCACTATGCAAAACAGCTTGGAGGTTCCTCAAAAAACTAAGAATAGAATTACCATATGACCCAGCAATCCTTATTCTGGGTATTTACCCAAAAAACTTGAAAATATTTATCCACAAAGCTATATGCACCCTGATGTTCATAGCAGCATTGTTCACAGTGGCCAACACATGAAAATAACCAAAGTGTCCATCAGTAGATGATTGGATAAAGAAAATGTGGTACATATATACAATGGGATATTACTTAGGCACAAGAAAAGATGAAATACTGCCATTTGCAACAACATGGATGGATCTTGAGATTATCATGCTAAACGAAATAAATCAGACAGAAAAAGTTGAGAACCACATGATTTCACTCATATGTGGGATATAAAACTAAAAGCAACAAACATGAAAAACAGACTCATGGACACAGACAGTGGATTAGTGGTTATGAGAAGGAAGCCAGGGAGAGGGGAAGTAGGTAGGTGTAAAGGGGGTCAGATATTTGGTGGTGGAAGGAAATTTAACTTTGGGTGGTGAACACACAATGCAATATACATATGACATATTATTGCACTTGAAACCTATTTGATTTTATTAATGTCACCCCAATAATTTTAATTTAAAAAAAAATTTAAATACTAACAGTAAAAAAAAAAAATTTTATGACATTTAATCTCATTAAATCTTCAACCAAGAAGGCATTATCAGTCTATGGCCATGCCACCCTATACGTGCCCGATCCCATCTGATCTCGGAAGCTAAGCAGGGTCGGGCCTGGTTAGTACTTGGATGGGAGACCGCCTAGGAATACCAGATGCTGTAGGCATTAAAAAATGTGTGTGTGTGTGTGTGTGTGTGTGTGTGTGTGTGTGTGTGTGTGACCATTTTGATGACAATTCAAGGACATTCATTTGTATTTGAGGCAAAGAGAAATCAATCTGTAAAATAATTTCTTAAGAATGTGGAATAGTTGAGCATTTTCTGCTTGTTCTGTTTTTAGGCCTTCTTCCTGGTCTATGCCCTGGGATGTCTAAGTATTTACTATGAGAAGGTAAGATGTTTTATTTAGTTATAATCCACTTTAAATTTTTCCTGATGTTAAAAGCAGGTTATAGTAATTTCCATATTGCTTCAATACAAATTTATCTACTTTTACTAAGTAAAATAAGGAATTGAATTTTTCTCTAAGTTTCAGCTTTGAGTCCTGAATTGGGACCGTTTAGGCAAAAGCCACTTTTGACCATTTTAGTTGGAATTTCATTCCCAGAGGGTAGGAGAAGAGCAATATCTTACATAATGATCAGGAAGTCTGTGTCAGAAGGGTACTAAAAATTAACAAAAATAAAAGCCACCAGTATTTAGCACTTCTTTAGTAAAGGGTATATGTTAGGTGCTTTACATTCAATATTTGTAATCCTTACCTCCATCTGGTAAGAATTTTATAGATAAGGTAACCGAGTCTCAGAGAAAATAAATAACTCACCCAAGGTCACACAGCTGATCTGGTTAGAATTAGTATTTGAAAATATACTTAGGATAGCTCCAAAGCCCATGATTTTATGTGGCAGCCAGCTGCCCTTAGAAGAATGGTTGTTCCATAAGAAGTTGATACCATTGTTTGCCTTCTAGTAGAGGAACTAGAGGGCTGAGTACAATGTTGGGAGGGAGATGACACTGTATACCTTTTGTACTTTTTGAATTTTGAACCCTGTGAATATAATAATACCTATTCAAAATAATTCAAATGAAAATGAAATTGAAATTAAAGAGAAATGCAAGCAGACAAAGCGTATTTTATTCTGTTCTTGGAAGTACACAATTTTATCATTCATCAAATATTAATTATATAAATCTTTTTCCCAAGTATTGCAGTGGTTTGGAAATGAGTGTCTGACTAATGGGTGACTCATTTTCCCAGATGGTGGCCATTCTTAGCCCACCTTGCCTCCTCTCCTGGGCCTTAACTGAAATTTGTCAGAGCGTTCCAGATGCTACATAGAATCCTCAACATCTGAAACATGATGGGCTATCCATGTTGGAAGTTCAGCCTTCTCTACGAGACTATTGCTTCTCAGGGGAGGGGTTGAGTGTTTCCTCACAATGGGATTTGAAGGCTATACATATATGGAGTTTCCATCTTAGGAATAACTGCCACCACCACCACCACCCCACCCCCCGCCCAAAAAATACCCCCACAACTCCATCTCTTATTTATGTTATTAAAATCTTCATCTGAGCCAACTGAGCAAATCTTATCAAGTGACTGAACCCTAAACCAACTGAAGAATTGATCATTTTACTAAGTACTTAAATGAAACGAAAAACTTTACAAACTTCACTAGTTTTTGTTGTTGTTGTATTTTTTTGTATTGTTACATCAAAATGTTCTCTGAACCAAACCATTCTCCGTCTCTTCAAGTTCTACATTAGAAAGTAAAATTCTCTTATAAGTAGTTGGATTATTAATTTGTGCCACCAGTTCTGTAGTTTCAGAGACTAAATGGAGCATTTTTTTAAAGGCTTTTATTAAATAACTTGTGCCTTTTTTGAACGTGGACTGACACGTAGTAGCTACTCTTTAGAGTCTGTGAAATGTTTGGCACATGCTTCCCTTGTGGACTTGTTACACTAGAGCACCCCAGCATGCACTCCTTCCTCTGCCTGCCAGGTTCTTCCGCAGCCACCACCACCACCTCCTCCAGGAGTCTCCACCAGCCCCTTTCACTTGGCCACTTCCTTGCCATCTCCAATGTTACTGCCTCAGGACAGCCTCTCCTGAGTTTGTAGAGCAGTGCTGTCCACTCTATAATGAGAGCCTCAGATGGGAGCCATGTGTATAATTAAAATTTTCTGATAGTCACATTACAAAGTTTTTTAAAAAGTCAAGTGAAATTAATTTATTATGATATATTGCATAATTTATTTAACTCAACATATCCAAAACTATTGAGGTAGCTTACATTCTTTTTTTCCTATTAAGCCTTTGAGATTCCACATGTATTTTACGATTGGAACACATTTCAGTTCAGGCATGTGGCTGGTAGCCGCCACATTGGACATCACAGGTCTAGATCTTCTAGTTAAATCCCTCTTGTGGGTACCATGTTTGTTTTATTCCTTGCTTCAGCTTCACACTTACAGATATTGATTATTGGCTGAATCATGAGTGAGTACACACATAATAATGCCTTTTTTTTTTTTTAATAACTTTAGGAACCTTTAACAATTGTGAAACTCTGGAAAGTTTTCACCATAGTTCGGCCCACATTTAGAACTACATACATGGCATACCATTACTTCCGAAGCAAGGGCTGGGTGCCCAAAACAGGACTTAAGTATGGAACAGATCTACGTAAGTAATTCTTGGCTTGGTAGGTGTCACAACCAGGGTTTGCATCAGATCCTAGGGTGGAAAAGCAAAGTGGTTATATGTGCTGTTGCTGATCTTTTCTAAGAAATGTCTTCCTTTTGGCTTAGATAAGAATATTGGATATTTGGATTGGAGTAGAGGGTGTGTTCAGAAAGAATGAAAAACCAATCTAGGGGAAAAGCCCGGAGTAGAAGCTTGCAGCCCTAAGTCAGGCTTTTCCTTTCATCTACTCTGTGATCCTCAGAAAGAGTTCTGCAGCAGCCAGCCCCACCTGTCATAAGCCATGCAACAGTTTCTTATCTTCTGGGCCTCAGTTGCCTCAGATGGCAAATGAGAATAATCACCTAATTGTAATAATAATCATAACGATCATGTATTGAGCATTTACTACATGCTGAGTATTTTACAACCATTATCTCATTTAATCCTTACAGCAGTTCTATGGGATGGATACTTACTACACTCATTTTTCTGATAGGGAGACTGCAGTTTTAGGAGAATGGCTCATTTGCCTTGATGGAGCCGTTTATGTTCTGGTGGAGGAGACGAACAAGCAAACACATATGTAATATAATTTCAGGAACTGATAAGTACCATAAGAAAAATAGAGCAGAGTAACAGGCTAAAGAGTAAAAGAAGTTAGTAAACGCAGTCAAGAAAGCGCTCTGAAAAGAAGTGACCACAATGAGAGAGCAGGTCACTTGAGAATCTGGGGAAGAGCACGTTAGGCACAAAGGCCCTGAGGTAGAAACAAGCTCGTCAGGTCACAAAAAGATAGTGTGTCTACAACTTAGAGATCCACAGGGAGAGTGACATGAGGTGATGTCTAAGCGTTGGGCCAGACCCAGGTGATGTAGGACCTGGCAGAGACTTTGGATATTTTTCTGCTGAGTGGACATCTTGGGAGATTTTAAGCAAGGGGTTGATTTAAATTTAATGACTTAATTTAACAGGACCCTCTGTCTGCTCTCTTACTAATATACTGCAGGAGGGCAAAAATGGAAGCAGAGAGACTAGTTAGGAAAACTGAGCTTGACCAGCCCCAAAGACAAAATGAATGTAAGATCTGTGGGTAAGAGAGGAACCAGGAATAATGCCTAGCTATTTGGCTTAATGTTTTGGACATATTAAGTTCAGTGGCGATACTGTGAAGACAGGCAATTCTGAAGCATGGAGAGCTTTGAGATAGAAATTTGGACTTGTCATTATATACCTGGCACTTAAAGCCATGGGCCTGAGTGAGTAAACATAATCACTCATGTCACTTCTTCAATAAGTCCTCGAAACTCATTTTCCTCATCTGCCAAGTGATGGTGCTGCTTCCTGGATGCTTTTCAGAATTGTTAGGTTCAAACTAAAATTTCAAGATGTATGAGAGGCCATCTAAGAAGTCATAGCCCTTAAAATCTTTTGAGCTGTCACATACTTGTTCTGTGTGTTTTTTGAGCCCTTTTAAATGCTCCAAAATTGAGTGTGCTTAATCTAGACTCATATGATGGTCTTAGGGAGCACCTGCACCCCTGAAATTTTATTCAAAATATTGTGTTTATGGATTGGTGCATTTTTCTGGATCAAGAGTCCATAGCTTTCATTAAATTCTCAAAGGGGGTCAGCAATCCAAAATAAAGGTCACTCATCCCTCTTAAGATAAATGGCTTCTTTTGTTTCTTTCATGCCTGGATTTTCTGTACAGGTATCCTAACACAGAGTTACCACACAAACGATCAGGATTAGCTTGAGATTGGTTTGCTAGGCTTCCAGATAATTTTGTTGGCCACAAGTCACATTATTTAAATAAGTGAGTGATGTGCCTGTTCCGTTTTACTTCATTGGCTTTCTGCCCCCTTCTCCTTTTCATGCTCCTGTAAGAATAGCCACTCAGCGTAAATGCTTGGCAGGTCTTCTCCAACTTTCTCATTGTGTGAGTGAAATTTAATTAGAATTTTCCAGTGGATAAGGCTACAGTGATACATTAAGAGGTGGCATGGGGTGATAGAAAAAGTGCTCTTTGGGTTCAGAGCCGGCTCCACTTATGACCTCAGGCAAGGTTCTTCATCTCTTTGTGCTTCTGTTTGCTCATTATACGACATGGATAACAACATTTTTATAAAATAACTTTCTTTATTTTAAAAAAGTGCATTGCAGGGCAGCAGGGCTTTTGTTGAGTGCCTTATATCATATATTTTCAATACTCAAGCCATATTTGTGGATGATTAATAGAGAGAATTTTCCTAATTTAAAAATAAACTACCTTATTAGGATGGAAGGATAGATTTTTTTTAAAAAAAAGAAAAGGAAACTAAATCAACTACTATTTCCCAACTCTCTGGAGGCCTTTGCTTCAGCTGGGGCATATCATGCACTTCAAGCCTCTTGTATAATTAATGTGAGACCAGGTCTCTGGCCCAGGAGCAAATGAAGGATATCTTCAGTTTCTGCTTTAGCAAGAGTTCACGATCAGTGCTAGTCCAGGATGAGAGGATCAACTTTCTAAACTTTACTCCTTCTCCAGGCATAGCTGGACGGTGCCATTGGTTTTTAACAATACTATTTTAGGTTCGAAGGCTGGTGACCTAATCACGCATACCTTAGAACTGCCAACATGGGTTAAACCCAGGACATTCTCTTAACAGTTATTTCTGCTTACAGAGCTAATGACTCATGACAAAGGGCTGTTATGAAATTCACATCTTATCAGGGAAACTCTTCCTTGAATAAATCGTGTCAATCAAATTTCATTCCAGGAGCAGTATTTGGAACAAGTGATATGGATCTCAAATCAAGTGCAGCTGCCGAGCTAGTTCAGCTTGATCTCCCACTGGTGAAAACCAGACTAGAAACCAAGGGAGAGCCTTTCCTTACATTCCCCCACCCAAAAGCTGCCATGGCTGCTGGCTCCTTTGGTGACCAGGCCTTTTGCTCTGGTGCTTTTCTTCTCTTGTCTTATTTAATCTTAATACTCCTAGGAGTATAGTGTTTACCTCCCTGCCACAGACTGTGTGCCTCCAGAGGGTTCCCTGTGCAGTTCTAGGGTCCACATGGCAGAGTCTCTGGCCCCAGGCTCCCTCTCCAGGTGGCAACTCTTGACCTCCACAAATTGAATTACAGAAGTCCCCTTTATTTGAGATTTCTCTTTCCTCGGTTTCAGTTACCCATGGTCAATGGCAATCTGAAAATATGGAAAATTCCAGAAATAATTCATAAGTTTTAAATTGTGTGTTGTTCTGAGTAGCATGATGAAATTTCTCACAGTCCCTCTCTGTCCCACCCAGAATGTGAATCATCCCTGTTTTCCATGCTGCATACAACCCCCACCCTCTAGTCACTCAGTAGCAGTCTTGGTTATCAGATTGACTGTCACAGTATTGCAGTGCTTGTGTTCAAGTAAACCTTATTTTACTTAACAATGACCCCGAAGCCACTCATAACTTTTATTATAGTACAGTGTTATAATTGTCTTATTACTAGTTATTGTTGTTAATCTTCTTATAGGTATGTGTGTATATATAAGAAAAAACATATCTATGTATAGATATAGATAGATAGAAAACATACATAGGTATATATGGGGTTTGGTACTCTCTGCGGTTTCAGGCATCTACTGGAGGTCTAGGAAAATATCCCCCATGGATAAGGGGCAACTACTGTAGTAGGACAGACTGATCTCTGAGTGGTGTGTATGGTTATGTGATTTTCCGCCCCCACTTGACTTTGAATGTCTTAAAAATAAGCATGAGTCTTGTTCACTTCTAGTGCCAACACCTAAGTCAATACCTAGCCAGATTAATTTAGACACTTTAAATTACACTAATTTGATACAAACAACAAAATGTTGATCTATGTTATACAAACTGTATACTCTTGATACACTTTCACACTCTCACTCCAGAGAGTATAAGATGAAGCAAGACCATCATAAGAAGCAAGACAAGAATTGCTTGTGTGGACTGTGGAATTCATTCGTGGAGTGAAAAAGAGGATGAGGATGTTAGGGTCTTGGCAACAGATTTGCTCTACTAATTGCATTTTGTTTCAGAGGCAAAAAACGGTTTGAATTTTAAAAATAGACTACAGGGCATACTGCACATTACCCATATAGAGATAATTGGGTGTTTATGTCCTTCTGGAGAAGAAAAAACTTAAGTAATAAAAATAAGATTTTGATTTGAAGTGATTACACATTTTCTTTTTCTTTGCAGTGCTGTATCGAAAAGGCCCTCCATTTTACCACGCAAGGTTTGGAGTGATTTTTAAATAAGTTAATGACTTAAGGGGACATGATGAAATTTCTGGCCTCCACTTTAATTTTTCATTGCCACAGAAAACAGTCATGTTCCTGTTGGCCTAATAGAGATTGATACTCTTATGTGCCTTATACACTAACATTGTTATACTATATATAGAATAATAAATTATGACATTGAATTAATCTTTGTGGCAATTGTTCCTCTTAATATCAGTGAATATTAGTATCTAAACAGTACAGCTTTTATGTTGGGAGAAATATTTCTGTTCTTTTCCTGTACATGTTGAAATCAGCCTGAAAGTTTGTAACATAAAGTGTGAGGTTTTCATTAATATTTTCTCAGTAGCAGTCTAGGGGAATTTAGGATAAGATGATTTACTTTTTATTTTTTATGCATCTTCATTCTTGGTAGGAGGAACAATATTTTTTTAAAACAGATTGATTTCATGCTTTTTATTTTTAAAACACCCTTTATGTGTTTTCCAGTTACTCTGTCATTATTGAGTTAGTCGATGACCATTTTGAGGGCTCTCTTAGAAGACCTTTCAGTTGGAAGTCGCTGGCTGCCTTGAGCAGAGTTTCAGTGAATGTTTCCAAGGTAACAACATCAGCTCTTCGCGTGTCACTTAAGTGGTTGGATTTTTTTTTTTTTTTTTTATGTAATAGAAACAGAAAGTCATTTGTAGAAACTTCAAAATGTTCCTACCAGTGAAGTCCTGGAAGACTGGACTAGAAGCTGTCTTCCCTCATGTCCCCTCCTACCATTCCTGGCTCTAAGCTCCAGGAATTGAGCTTTGACATTTCCCTTCAGTGGGCATTGCCTTTCTTCCCAGGGGCGCCATTGGTAAGCGCAGCCAGCACATGCTCAGAATGCGCTCACACATTCACAAAAGAGTCCAAACATTACACATTTCTTTTCAAATTTACAGATCTCTTAGGAATGGAATTAACTGCTAAACACTTGACGTGTTTTTTTACCACCTGTTTACTATTCTCATGCTAAGAGTGAGGAATTGAAGGGTCAGAGATGTTTAGTGAGAAACCAATGGTCTTGAAGTTCATTACAAAACTGAGCTTCAAACCTAGAGCCACCTGAGTTGCTGGCTGTGTTCTACTATATCCTGCTGCTCTCGAGGTAGAAGAGAATTTCATCTTACACCAAGGCCATTACTGATGAAAACTGTGCATTCTCTGTTGTTCAGTAATTTGGTAACTGAAAATGAATTGTAGGCCTCCTCCAACTCTGTCCCACTGCTGCTGGAGGTGTGGAAGCTGAGGCGAGAAGGGCCAAAGGGGCCAGGGGACAGCTGTCTTAAGTGTAGGTTAACTTGCTTAAGCTCCAGCCTATAAAAAGTAGCTTTGTCTTATAGAAATAGGGAGTCTGTGCAGTTTCTAGTATTATCGTGCCCACTTTTTGGGATTTGTAGCATATATTTAATATTTCAAATACTGTATTTATCACCAGCATATCTACTTTATTTGCTTTCTTTTGCCATGTCAGTGATGACTAAATGGCAAGTCCTTAGTCTAGAATGTGAGCCCAGTTATGATGTTCCCAGGAGGAAACTAAAGTGCTCTGTGATGTTTCCAGGAGCACACAGTGAGAGGGA